AAAAAAAAAAAAAAAAAGGGAGAGTGAGAGGACGGAGGGAAAGAGGAGGTGAGGAGGGAGGGCGAAGGGAGGAGCCGGTAGGGCAGGTGAAGGACGAGAGGCAGGAAGGGGATGAGCCTGCAGGGCGGCAAGTCTTCCTCCCTGGCGTGTGGGGGCACTGGGGATCCGCGCCTTGTGCTCACCTGTACTGGGGCGGGGAGAGGCGAGGGGGGCTGCTGCTGCCATTGCTGGGCAGCGGCTCCATGGGGGCGCCCCCATCGTCGTGGCTGAGGGGCAGGAGGCTGCTGGCGGAGCCCGGGTTCAGCATGCCAGGGCTGTTGAGGAGGGGGAAGCTGCTCTCGGCCAGGGCGGCCTGGAGGGGCACAGGGTTGGGCCTGGTCAGAGCCGCCGCGGGGCAGAGTACCCCAGTCAAGCGCAGTCCCTTCTCACCTCCCTTCTGTCTGCTGGTCCCACGGGCAGATCTGTCCTGGCACCTCCCTACCCCCGAGTCCAGATGCAGGACCACAGAACCCCTCCCAAGGCCAGAACTCTGTCCCCCGACCTCCTCCTTACAGTTTTCCTGGAATCTGACCTGGCTTATCCCCTCTCCCAGGGAACAGAGAACCCCTAGATTGATAACAAGCCAGAAAAGGGGTCCCCTCGGGTACCCTAACCTCCCCGCTCCTCACCTGGCCCTTAACCTGAACCCAGCCTTGAAATCAGAGGTGGAGGTGGGACCCTGAGTTGGGGCGGGGCAGAGGGTTGGAGTTTTGGACACCCACCATGGTCTTTACCCTCCTTCCCATCCTTCCTCCCCTACTCTGCAGGGGAGGGCGGGGTTCAGTTACCTGGTAGCTGGCATTAAGTGCTCCATAACTGAGGCCGGAGATCATGTTCTTCACCAGCGTGGGACTCCTGGAGGAGAGAGAAGGCAGCTTTGGTTCCCTCACGCCTATCTCCTCACTTCCATCTCTTGGCTCTCACCGAGGTCTGTGCCAGACCGGGGACTGTCCCATTGACTACCCTGGGAGGCCAGAACAGGGCCAGCCACCGTCCCTGCATCTTGTGTATGTGTGGCCACCTTCAGCCATCAGGCTGACCTGCCCCACCTTCCCAGGTGAGGCACTAAGCTGCATGGGGGGGGGGGCTCTGGGACCTGCCCGAAGTCCTGGGACTAGCGGGTGGGAGCCGGCATCCCTCCCAAGCCTGTCTTCACAGCATGCACCCCAGCAGGTTTCTCAACATTCGGCAAGGTCCGATCTGTAGCCTCAATCATTCCACATCTGTCATGGCCACGTGTTCCTGCCATCCTGAATTCTGGGACACATGACCAGCCACGTGCTCAGCCTGACCCCATGTGCTCCACGCAAAAGGCTTCTCTGCACCGGAATGTGTCTAGGAGTTGGGGCAGGGAAAGCAATGGCTTGAGGTAGTTCCTCCTCCACAGCCCCATCAGAGCCTCTGACAGAGGTCAGGGAACTGGCCCAAGGGCACATAGTTGGTGAGAGGCAGAGGTATGGTCCCGACCCAGGTCAACCTAACTGCCTGGGGTGCAAAGGCTCTCTTGCCCAGGAGGCATCTGGGAGGGAAGATGTCTACTGAACTTTCTCAGACCGCTCTCTACTGGCCCAGGGGCTCTGGCCCAGAGGCACAGTGAGAGAGTGACTGGAGTAGAGGCACTAGGGCAAGGAGAAGGCCACTGTGTCACACAGAACCCAGAAGGGAGGTTCTGACGCTCTCCTGGGCGCCTCGGTTTCCGTGTAAAATGCCACGTGGAAAAGTGGAGTGCAAGAGAGGGGGAGGCCGAGACCTGGTCCTCAACCTGCCTCTGCTACAAATCTGCTGTGGCTCCCACCCGCCCCTTGCCCTCTCTGGGCATCCTCTGCTGCAAAATGGAGAGGTGGGGCCTCAAGATCTCAGAGACCATCCTGATGAGCCAGCAGGGGCCGAGGGGGAGTGGGCCCCAGGGATGGCAGCTGCTGGCCAGCGTCTGCCGGTGTCCCCACTCTGGGTATGGCTACCATAGGCCTGTCTCTCTCCGGCACCAGGCCCCCCTAGGCTTCTTCCCTCAGGCAAAGTGAAGACAGAACAAGGCATACATGTCCACCTTCTGATTTTTCATTGCTTCCAGATTTCAGTTCCCATACCCAAGCACTAGGCTCCCAACCTGCTACCATCCAGGAAGGATGTGGAGTACAGGGACCTCAGAGAGGCAGCAGGGTGGATACGCCCTCCCAGCTCTGGGCCCACATACCCTGTCATCTTTGGCGGTCTCCGCTTCTGATACTCCCGCTCGTCCACAGTCCACACAGCACCCTTGACGTTCTCCACACGGACGAAGCACTTGTGCAGGCTGAGGTTGTGGCGCACAGCATTCTGCGGGTGCAGTGAAGAGGGGCTCAGAGGGGCTTGCTCAGCCCCTCCGCCCGGGGGAGCACACATAGGACAGTCCTCGTCCAGTCCCACGCAGTGGCTGCGGGCCTTCCCCAGCCCAGGAACAGCAGAGGGAGGGGTGGAGCTGGGAGAAGACCCGGCCAAAGGGAAGGAAGGTTCCTCCCCCTGCCCTTCGAGCCAGGGGGCTCTCACCCCATCTCTACCAATGACCCGCTTTATGACCTGCCCCTTCTCTCCCTGCCACATTTTAGAAAGTTCTTTCTACCAATGAAAGTGGTATCTAGTTCGTAATAATGTGTTTCGCCATCTTCATTAATCAAAAACACATGTAGCTGTTGCTCAGGGCTTCTGATAAGCTTCAGATCTATTCAGGCCCTGGCATTTCAATGAGCCCGGGACACCTCAGCCCAGGTGCATGCAGAATCTCCACCAGGCTTCCAAAAGAGCCCTCACTGCTTCCTCCATCGACCTCTGGGAATCTGGGAGCCATGACTTGGAGCTGTGGCTCAGAACAGACAGCTAACTGATTGAGAGCATGGGGTACACCAGTCGAGGCCTAATGCATACTTGTTGATAAACAGGGAGAAAAGAGAGAGTGGGCTTACGGCTGAGAGGCAGGAAGATAAGAGAAAGAGGATAAGTCACCTTGTCACTCCCATCTCCTCCTGGCAGCATAACTTCAAGAATTGAGGCCATCTGGTTTGTAGGACACTTGGGTGAGGGCGGGGGTGCGTGGCCCAATTTCCCCCATGGGAGCCCAGGCTAGGGCCCAGTCCACCGCTCCTCCTCCCCCACATCCCTCAGTCCTGCCCTTGCACCCCCCTCTCTCAGCTGCACTGCCCTCCCCCGCCAGCCCCCAGCCACTACCCGGTCCCTGCCTGCTTGCATCCCTGTCCCTGTTACCTGTCCTCCTCTGCCTCCCCTGCCTCATCCCCATCCTTGTCTCCTCTTTACATTTCTAAACGGGGAAGAAAGCGGGTAGGGCGGGCAGCCCGTGCCCCTGGAGATCCCCTCTCCCTCTCTCCCTTCCAACTCTTGCCACTTGCAACTGGCCCGATTTCATTACCAATTTTAATTTGCCTCTAATTAAATCCTGTGTATTTTTCCGACTCGCTTGCTAATCCACGAGGGAGGCGGGCGGCTGGAGTGGAATCTCTTGGAGCGATAATTACAAAGGGCCTAATCACGCCGGGGCTCCTGCCTCGGAATAAATTTGCCCGCATTATGGGGCTCCGATCCTCCGCTTTGCAAATGAGAATGACCCCAATTTCCGAGGATGGCCTCACCGGGGCTTTTTTCCCTCATTTCGAAGCCTGATTCGTGATGAGAGACTAATTCGTTACGCTGAAACATTAACGGCAATTTAAGGGGTCTGGCGGGGGCTGCGTAAACAAAAGGACGGGCCCACAACATGGGCCCTGGGAGGGGATGGACACGGGGAGGGCCAGCAAGGACCATCAGCTTGGCAGATGGCAGCTCTGTCCCTGGATGAACAGCAGCTGGCTTGGTCCACACCCAACCCTTTTGCCCTGGTCTGAAGTAGACAGCATCTCAGGGTGGGGGCCCGAAAAGGTAAAAGAGGAAAAGAAGGAAGCCAGAATAACTTGAGAGAGGAAGAGAATGATCTAAGGGGCAGATACATGAGTGGAAAGCGAAGGCTGAAGGAAAACAGAGTTGAGTATAAACAGAGTCTGTTTCCCAAGTAACATGCATGAAGTTTGGCTGAAAAGAAAACAGAAGGTCAAAGTGGACCTCAAGTTGAGATGGATTCTGCCTTGCCATGAGAAGGACACAGGCAGTACCCTCAGGCACTAGAGGCAGAAGCAGAGCACCACGAACTGGAAAGGCTACCCTCTCAATCATTCACTTTCCCAGCCCTGCTGGTTTCTTACTGGGACCTAGACCAGGTGGGGAGAGATGGAGATGAACTGGGAGGGAGAGACACACCACAGAAATGACCAAAGCTGGACAGCCAGTAGAAGGTGGCAGGATTGGCTTCAGGATGGCCACTGAGTAGCTTAAGGACGTCACCTAAACCAGCTCCTCCTCAGCTCAAGAAAAGAAAGTAGAAAACTGCAGGGGGATGGGACAGGTAAGAGGGAAGGAGGGTCGGTGAATACTCTGCTCTCAAGGAGGGGATGGTCTTATGGAAATGAGGGTCTACATCGCCACCCCCAAAGGCCAAGGATTAACATGCATTATTAAACTTTATCATCATGATGGTCTCTCACTCCATTATTTATAAAACCCGGTATCTGATCTGGCCTGGCGAATACAGACTGGACTAGGTGGCCCCAGGAAAGCCCTGCTGGCTCAGAAAGAAGGCAAAGGACTGTGGAGGGGCAGGAAGTGGCATCACTCACAGCCAATCACAGCGGCTGTCCCAGCCTCGCAGCCTCTCCTCCAAGCTTTGGGAATCGGGTATGGGGCTATGGGAGGGAAGGACATGAAGCAGTCCCCTCCTGCTGCACTCAGCACACTCCCGGGGGAGAGAAGGCTGGGCCCTGTGCAGACCCACCCAGTCTTGGGCCCTGGTCAGGAGGAAGGCCTCCATAACACTTGTTGAAACCTGGTGGGATTGGGGGAGATGGTCTGTTTAACTGCAGTTTCTGCACTAGCCAGCAGGGGGACTCAAGAGCCAGGGATCCAATTAAGGTTCTGCGACAGGGACTCCACATCTAACCTTCCCCACAGGGTCCAACACTCCTCCTCCTCCTTCCCCCCATCCCACTCCCAATTTAGATATGGCCTTCTCACCTTCTCACTGCATGCGCGCGTGCGCGCGCACACACACACACACACACACGCGCGCGCGCGCACACGATCTTGGCTATAGAAAAATAAATGGCTTAGTGCCCCAGCACACATCTCTGTGTCCCATTTTTCTAGGGTCCCCCTCTTGCCTACTTCTGGTCCCCCAGGAAAACTCTCATGGCTGAAGGTGTTGAAATCACTAATTGGATGGAGACAATTATCTTTCTGTCAGGGACGACAGAGCTAGGGAGAGCTGTGGTGCCTGTCTGTGCCCTAGTGTGCAGTCCACGGTTCTGTCCCTGTGTCCATGCCTGTACAGCCCCACCCCCCACCTGGGCTTCAGATCATGTACTGTTAGCCAAGGTATCCAGACCTTCAAGGCCTCTGTGAAATCAGCCCCAGTCTCTGTGCCAGGCTTGGGCATTATCAATTCCTGGAGGCCCTACTTCATGGGGCTGGGGTCTTTGGGGCCGTGGGGAGACACCCTACAGAAGGTTTTCTTCTTCTCTAGCAGGCAGCACAAGGCTGGGAGGAAGGGGCAGAACATTCCACAGCTCCTGTGAGGTGGGGGCCCCCCTGGTGTGCCCCGGCTGGGTCGACCAACTGACAGGCAGCCTTGATCTCCATGGCATACGCAGAGGTCCTAGGGTAACAGGGCCCGGGGGAGGAGGAAGGAGCATGCCTCACCTTCCAGGTGGCAGTGTTTCTGCGGAAATAAGCGAACATCCTGGTGAACCAGTTATAGATCTCATTCAGGGTCAGCTGCCTGTCTGGGGTTTCCAGAATGGCCTGTAGGCAAGGAAAGGTGGCAAAGGACCCTCAGTCTGGGCCACAAAGGGCCACAGCCCCGTCTTCTCTCCCTTCTGTCTGACCCCAGCTCACCCTGTAAACAGAAGTGACCCGCTGCATTTGTGTGTGGATAAGAGGGTGGGTGGGGGCTGACGTGTCCCTGAGAGGGACAGTCAGCCGAAGCTAGAGGGGTCCCCAGGCTCCAAGGGCCATGCAGTTGTGCCAGGAGCACAAGGGTTTCTTCTGGAGGGAAATGGCTCCAAGTGCCCGGCTCCAGATTGAGGATGAAAGCAGTACTCTTGAGAGAGAGAGACAGGCATGGGGTGGAAGCTGTTTAGAATTCATCGTGATTTCGGTGCAGGGCACACAAAGCATGGTGTGTGTGAGAAGATGTGTGTGAGGGTGTGCATGCCCGTGGGCGGCATCAGGGTACACATATGTGTAAATGTATGTTCGTGAGTATGAATATTACATGAACACTGGGAACATGAGGATCGTGGACATGAGGAGGAAGCAGAGGTGTGTGTATGTGAGGTAACAGACTTGAGAGTGACCATGAGCCATCTGTCACCAGAGTGGGTGTACGTGGAGATGAGCATACAGATAACCCAGTGTGTGTGCCCTGAGATACACCCTCGTGTGCAGCAGGCCAACTGAGCAAAGCTCACAGGAGAGCCCAGACAGCCGAGGAAGAGGACACAGGTGCGAGAGGGCAAGAACAACAAGAAAGGGACAGTTAGTCGCTGGCGCCAGAATGCTCCTGAAGGCGGGGCCTGGGGTAAGGATACAGCCTGTGTGCCACTACCCTCCTCCTGCCTTCCCTGCTCACCTGGCGGATAAGGGAGGCATAGGTGAAGGGGGGCCTGACGTCGGCGTTCTTGTAGAACTCGTGATTCTGGGCCAGTTCTGGGAGAGACAGGCAGAGGGTGAGGTACTCTGAGAAGGGGACCATGCCGGGGAATAAAATCCCCCCTCCTCGCGGTGGCAGCCCACAGCCTGCCCTCACCTGAGGAAATGGGGGAACAGAACTTGTCACTGCTCCTCCGGCGGGCTGGGCCCCCGCTGTGCAGGGAGGCAGAGCCAAGGCCAGGGGGACGAAGGGGGGTGACAGGTGCGGCAGCAGAGGTTGGGGGGTGCACAAGACCATCTGGGAACGAGTCTGCTGCAGAGACGGTCACCTTGGAGAATGAGGAGGAGCCGGGGATCGGGTTCAGCTGTTGGCAACGGGGAGGATGCTGAGACCAGTGCCTGAGAGTGGGGTTCCAGGGTCCAGGGGCTGTGGGGAGGTTCTGGGAGGAGGGCGGGGAGGGAAACATCACTCACTGGCTGGCTGAAGGGCTTGGGCTCGGAGGGCCGCATGTGCAGGTGCGCCATCATGGCCTGCAGTCGCTCGCTCTCCTTGGCGAGCTGTGGAGAGTGAGGGCAGGGGGTGAGCATCCCGGGATGCTGGGCTGTGAAGGCAGTGGGTTCCTCTTCCTCCTCCACATCTCCCCGTCCACCACCAGACCCCTCAGAAAGCCCCCCATCTCTACCCGCACTCGCATCCCAGCTCCCTCTGTCCCGGAAAGCCACAGCAACTCTTTGCCCCTCCGGCCCCCTCCAAGCACTCAAGGCAGAGCTGGGGGCTACCAGCCCTGTGAAGCAGCCCCTTCTCCTGTGGACCATGACTGTTAGAGCCCTCCCGGCGTGTCTCAGGCTCCAGCCCATCACCACCTCTACACAGTGGGGGCCTCCTTCCCACCCACCCGTGAAGGGCAGTGCTGTGTCTCATGCAGTGGCACTTGTGTGAGGGCCTCCAACGCTGAATGGAGACACAGGAACGGATGAATGGTTCAGTCAACCCATTCATAAACTCAATGTGTCTTTCACCACTACCCTCTCACGGCAGGGCGCTCTGCTAGGTGCCAGAGGGAAGCAGTGAGCACGGACTGACTGACTGATGGGCTGCCTCAGGTAGACCCCTGAGCCCTCCATGCTACAGAGCTGTGACTAGAGAGCTATACCAGGCCAGGGTTCTAACCCCAGTTCTGCCACTCACAGGCAAGTTACACTGTGCCTCCATTTTCTCCATCTGTGAAATGGGGATAATAACGGTACCCACCACAAAAGGTTGTTGAGAAGATCCCTTGAGCTATATAAGGTACTTAGCATAGCACAAAGCACGTGCCAGATATGTCAGCTGTTAATACTATTATTGTTGTTTCTATGTGGCGTGAGTCTCTTCTGGATCTCCCAGCAGAGACGCCCCCAACCTTGGTTTACCCCTCAGAATCCAGCTGGCCTCACCTCACAACCATGGTAATTAGGACCTAGAAAGCATAAGATGGTGGCTTTGACCATAAGACCCTCCCAGAGACCCACCCAGAGCCCTCCTAGAAAGTCAGCGCTGTGCATACATGGGCAGGGGCTGGAGCCCAACATGTCCCTCCCAGCATCCCGCGGGCCACACCTGGATCTCCAACTGCTGCACCACCTGCATCTGTACCCGGCACTGGGCCGTGCTCCGGTCATCCAGGGCGTGCTCCGTGTTGAGGTGTCTTCAGGGAAGTGAGGGGTGGGGGGAAGAAAGTTGCCCAGGGTTTTCCTGCTGTCACCACCCTCCCAGCCCATCCTCTAATCCCGCCCACAGCCTGGAAAGCAGACAGACTGAGAGATACAAAGGAAAGAAAGGGGTGGAAAAAAATGGGGCAATGGAGGAAGCCCTCTCCCTTCTCGTCAGCCTCCTTTGATGTCTTTGCTAAAATCCCAGCTACAGAGAGATCTAATTGCAAATGAACTAATTAAGTAAACCTCTGACGAAGCGTGAAAACAATTTGTTTGACCCTGATGCTGCAAGGGTCTGGGAGACAGCAGAGTTAATCAGTCAGTGACAGAGCCTGGCACGGCTGTGGCAGCTGGCCGCCTGCTGCCAGCCGCCTGTCTGCCCCCCGCCCTGCCTATCTGCCGGCCCTCAGTCCATCACTGGCCATCACTCCCCAGGGTTGAGTCTGGAGGGGAACCGGAAGGGCAGCGAGGGGGGGGGAGGAAACTCAGTGTGTCCTCCCTTCTGGGACACAGAAGGGGTGGGGAGTGGGCGATCAATGAGTCTGTGGTGGGCATAAAAGGAACCGGGCACCCCTGGAGTGATGACTGAAGGCCCCAAAGGGGTAAGCTGGTGGGGGCAGGGTCCTCTGGGGAAGAGCTGCTGGGGGAGGGGCTGGAGGGGTGATACTTACTTGATAAACTGGCCCAGGTCTTCACACAGGGTCTCACAGCCTGGCCACTTGCACTCTCCGTGTCCGTACAGGGGGTGGGAGCTGGGGGTCTCCTCGTGGGAGGAGCTGGGGGGGGCAAGAGGAAGGTGGTGGTCAGGGACCCTGCAGACCCCAGCAGCCCTGGGCTCGGCTCAGTTCCAGATGCCCTGCTAGTGATGTTTCCGTCCCTAGTACAGACCCAATTGTGTATTCCTTGAGAGAGGGAGTGAACTTCTGGGTCCCCGAGCTCCAACCACCCCCCAGGTACCACCACATAGCCATCCCTTGGAGTCCAGGTCTGTCCCCAGGCAAGGTTTTGGTGCCGCCTCCCAGACTGGGCCCCTGTACCTGTCTCTCCGAGATGTGAGCACAGTGGGCTGTCCGTTGGGCAGGGTATGGTGGGAAAGGGGGGGTGAGACCTTGGGGGGAGCGGCGAACGAGGTAGCAGTGGCAGCCGTGCCAGTGAGGTCCAGCCCCTCCTGCTTGACGCTGTCCTCGGCAGGCTGCCCAGGGGCACCCTCACCCTTCCACAGCTGGGGCAGGTCTGTCGGGCACACGGCTGCTGCAGGAGAGATGGGGGAGGCTGGCAGGGTCCTAGAAACACTCTCGGCCTTCCACCTCACTCTGGGAGCAGGGCTGCCAGCTCTGGGGTGCAGGGAGGGCTGTGGGACCAGGTTGGGGAGGGGAGGGGGGCGGGCACTCACCTTGTGGTAGGGTCTGCAGGGGCCCCGAGGCCTGGCTGGGCTGCAGGCTGACCAGCCCCTGCCTCTGCAGGTTGAGCAGGTGCTGCTGCTGCAACTGTTGCATCTGCAGGAGCTGTTGCTGGAAGGCCAGCTGCTTGTTCCCCAGCGTCTGGGGAGGGGCCCGAGGGGGTGGGCAGAGAGGGGTGCCATCAGCTTCAGGCATGCCATCTGTCCCCCACCCTGCAGCCACCCCCTCCCAGGGCCGGTCAGCCCCCGGAGCGGTCGTTGTGGCGTCTGCAGCTGCAGCGTCTCTGCTCCCGGCCCAGCTTCCATAGGGCTGCATGCCTCCTCGCAGTAAACACACGCATGCACGCACGCACGCACGCGCGCAAACACACAGCCAGACCCAGACACGCAGCACGACGCCCTCCCTCCCCCCTCCTCCTGTCGCCTCAGCTCCCACACCGCAGCTGTGTGCGTCTGGGGGGGCCTCATCACAATGATCGATGAGCCTGTCAGATTCTGGGGCCACTCCCGCCTGGAGGACACCCTTCCCACAAGCCCAGGGTGCCCCCCTTCTGCTCAAAGGAGGGACTTTTCTCCACAACACCCCCCCCCAGCTCTTTTCCCGGCTTGCTTTTCAGATAGAGAATCAAGGCATCTGATGGGACTCACTGGGACCTAGGCTCAGGGAACAGTCACATTGCCACTGCCCAGCTCTGTGCCCCTGCTGGTTCACTCGCTCTGCCTCCCCTCCACCCATTCAGCTCTTCACACAGGCACTGACAAGTCAGGCTGTCAGCAGGTCTTCCTGAGCGTCAGGAGCCAAGCAAGTCCCGGGTGTTTGGGAGGCAGGGACATCTCTGCCTGCCTGCTGGGAGTGGGGGTTAGGGTAGGGGGCTAGCTATTCAATAAGGAGACAGGAGGATAAACCTAGCCTAAAGATTTATAGACAGATAACACACCAATTACATAACCAAAGAAGGGGAGGCTGAAGAAGTGTGCAGGTGTCGTCAGGGCGGCCTTCTGGGAAGAAGCAACTCAAAACTTGGAGCTGTGGTTTGGGCAGCAGGAGGGAGATGTCTGTCTGGGACACAGGGCAGCGGGGACTCCAGGGCCTGGCATGAAAGCTCAGGTGGGCCAGGGGGCGTAGACTAGGGAGTTCTCAGAGAAGACGGAGGGTTAAGAGAAGGGTGGCCAGAGGGTGCTGGGCAAAACAAGACAAGAAGTGGCAGACGCTAGGGCGGGCTGGGGTGGGGGAGAGGGCTTGTGAAGGTTAAAGGAATTCTCAGGACAAAGAGTGGAAGGCTGAGATGCTGAGTCCCTAAGAGACAAGTGGCCATGTGTGTACCTCAGACATCAGACACTGATGATGCCACGCACACATGTCTACACGCATGTGCACGGAACAACACAAGGCAAGGACAGACAGAATGAATGAAGACAAGGGAGACAGACATGCGAGACAGCCACCATCCCTATCTCTCCCATACTGTTCCCTTGATCCCTTCCAACCTTTTCTGGATTTTTCTGCAGTCCCACAAGTCAACTCCCTTCTAACCACTTTTGGACTCCCAGGGCCAGGGCTGTAGGTGATGGGATGGAGGGTCTTTTCAGGGGGAACGCCCACTGTCTTGGGGCCATGGGCCCTGTTGCAGCCTCTTACCTCTTTGGGTTGCGGTTTCCCAGCCTGCTGTTGGGTGAGGAGTTGTAGGTGGAGTTGCTCCTGCTGCTTCTTGTAATATTCCTGCAGCTGAGTGGATGGGAGGTAGGGATGGGAGGAGGTTACCACCAGCAGAGGATCCCCCCAATAGCCCCAGCCCTGTCCTGTCTGGACTCCTGGGCAGGAGAGGGGTTTCAGTGAAATATGGCCTGGAAGGGAGATGTCTGTTCTGAGGGCCCCTGAGCAGGGCCTAGGTGGGGAGGAAAGAGGATGAGGTTCATCCCACAGATCTGAACCCTCCCAGCTCTTGGCAGGTCTCCTGGATAGGTCATGGGGACAAGGTACCAGGATGTCCCAGTACTCTGCCCTGCCCTGCAGTTCAGGAGACTCAAGTGGGGGCAGCAAGCAGGAAGGGAGGACTGGGGGGGGCACTGTGGGGGCAGGGGCTACTGTGAGACAGGCCTGACCTCTGACCTCTCCATGCTGCCCTGGAGGAATGCAGATCAGTCTGGCCTGAGCAGTCTCTCTGGCTTCTTAGACAGCTTTGGCCCTCAGTGGTGTTAGTGTAAACAGGGCCAGGGCGGGAGGAGGGAGACCATACAGAGGAAGGGGGACTCAACTGCCCTGGGCCAGACTCACCTGCTGGAGCATGAGGGCTTGTTGCTGCTGAAGCAAGGCCTGCAGCTGTGGAGGTGACAGGATCTGCTGCATCTGTTGGGGGGTGAGCATCTGTGGCGACATCATGGCCACCGACACGGGCACCTGCGGGATTCAGCCCTTTAGCCCGATCACCTTGACCTGCCCTAGGGGGAGGCAGCCCCAAGGGCCCCACCCCCAGCATGGCAGGGTGACTTCCAGTGAGGTTGCCTGGGTTTAAAGTCGGTCTCTGATGCCTACTGGCCGTGTCTCTTTGGATAGTGACTTACCTCCCTGTTCTGTTTCTCTTGTCTCTAAAATGAAACTAGCAATAGTCCTACCTCTTAAGGTTACCATGAGGATGAATACACGTTAGTACTCAGGACCAGCCTGGCACACAGCAAGGGTAGGCTATTACTGTAAGATGTGCTGTCCTCAGAGCAGGAAGATTAGACTCTAGTGACACTGGCCAGTAGAACCCATGGGCAGAGGCACACACCAAGCCACTCCCTCCTCTCACTCGGTCCGTTCTGAGACCACTACCTGCAAGTGGGCCTGGTTGGGAGTGCAGTCTACAGCCATGGGAAGGATTCAAAAAGTAGCCCACATGGCATGAGCACCTGGCTTTGGCCCTACTCACACATGTCACATTCTCCAGCACACCTGTCTAGATGGCCCAGAGCTGAAGTCCAGGGAGCACTGCTGGTACTGTCCTGGTTCTGGTGTGTGCATGTGTATAATTGTATGTGTATAATTATATGGGGTGGAAGGAACAGAAGGCAGGGGGTTAGGAGGGTGGGCTTCTACTCCTAGCTCTGACCTGAATTTGCTGTGTGACCTTAAGCAAGCCACTTGCTGTCTCTGGGGTATCAGTAAGCTCAAACATAAAACATAGGGATTGGGCTACAAGAGCTGACCCCTTCTGGTTGGAACACTGAGGATTCTCACTTTCTGCCCTTTGCCCTGGGTTAGGCCTCTAAAGGAGGCCCAAAGAATCCAGCCACAGGCAAAAAGTTCAGGAAAAAGCAATGACATCCCTCATCTCCCAGCCCCACCTCCCCCAGGCGTGTACGGTCATGGCCAGGCAGGCCTGAGCCGTTATGTTGTCTTGCCCCCGTTTTAGCCGGACAGGTGCCCCAGTGGGGCTGTCTGCTATCTCCACTACTCTGTGACAGTGTATACAGGATGTCTATAATCTTCTAATCTCCCCTCACTCCCAAGCACTGGCAGAGTGCCCAGCACACAGTAGGTGCTCACTAAATGTTTGCTCCTCTGAGCTGAAATGCTTTTCCCAGCAGATCAGAGGACCCTCTGCTGGCCCTGGGGCAGGAAGGGAGGGGTGCAGGGCCCAGTCAGGGAGGAGTGTCATGCAGGGACTTGTCTGGGGCGGTGACAGGCTAGATCTGCAGCCTCAGCCCCACCTGTAGGGCAGAAGAGGAGGAGTTTGTTCTCTTCCCAATCTCTGGCAGGGCAAGACTAGCCTCAAACTGCCCGTTATGCCACTGATTAGGAAATCCCCAGGTAGAGGAGCACCCTGCATCCAATGCTTCCTGCCTGCCCACCCCAGAACTAGCTGTGCCCTGGGCTTGACTCCTTGATCCCAGCCCCTCTCTGTCCAGGTAGCCCAGGTAGGGTAACACCTAGCTTTTTGTCATGGACACATTATGTGAATGAAGGTCCCAGGGGTCCTCAAGTACTGGGGGATGTGTCACATTAGCCCTCAGGAGGGCTTTCTTTTGTTTGTTTCTCTTTTACTCCATTTCTACCAAGGGAGTTCTGGCGGCTTCAGTCAGCAGGGCTGGGATTCAAGCCCAGGTCAGTGTACTCAGTGATTCCCAGTGTTCCACATCCCACCCACCTGCTCCACCTCAGGGGAGGCCTTGAGAAGGGGTCGGGAGAGCATGTGGGAACAGGACATCTGGGGGCTGAAGAGTGAGATACCCAATGAGGCCGAGACTGCCCTCTCTACAGACGTACCCAGAAGGACTCTCCAGAAAGCCCAGCAACAGGGATAGTGGGTCCTTGCTCTCTGAGGTGGTCTGGGGCTAGGGGCAGACACCTCCTTGCAGAGCCAGCCCCCGGGTCTGTTGCTGGGTGCCCCAGAGGCAGCTGGGGAGGCTGCTGAAAGAACTTGGGTTTTGCCATCCAAAGACTTGAGTTGCAAAGCCCTGGGCAGGGAGTGCCAGCCCCAGCAGGTACCATGGACTGTCCTTTCTTTTTTCCTCTACAGGGGCACCCAACAAAGAGAGGCATCGTGGCGGGCCTGAGCTCAGAGCACTGGTTCTGACTCAGGTCTCATCCCTGATATTCACTATCCTTTGAAATCACCAAGTCTCACTTTGCCATCTGCTGATGGGGATTTGGAGCACCCACCCTCCCAGTGTCACTCAATGGTACAGGAGGATGCTGCTGACTGCTCATTGTGTGCCAGGTATTGGCTAAGCCCTTTATGTGTATCATCTCAATAGGATCTTTGGAAGAGGGGGGTCATGATTGTTGCCATTTCACAGACAGAAGAGAAAACTGAGGACTAGAGAGGCTAAATAACCAGCCACCACCCCCATCCTGAGGGACAGTGGGAGCAGGAGTGAAAGTGAATGCATGCCATTTGGTTCTGTATAAATATAAAGAAAATTACTTAACTTTTAAAAAGCATTCTGGCCAGCATGGTGGCTCACACCTGTAATCTCAGCACTTTGGGAGGTGAAGGCAAGAGGATTGCCTGAGCCCTGGGGTTCGAGACCACCTTGGACAACTTGGCAAGACGTTGTCTCTACAATAAACCAAGAAATTAGCCAGGTATGGGGGGAGCTGTAGTCCCAGCTACTTGGAAGGCAGAGTTGGAAGAACTGCCTGAGCCCAGAAAGTTGAGGCTATAATAGCTGTGAGTGTGCCACTGCACTCCAGCCTGGATGACACAGTGAGACCCGGACTCAAAAAATAATAATAATGAAATTAAAAACACTGCACGGCAAGGGTCACTTAGGACCAAGCACCAGACCCTGCATTTTCACTGCAGCAAGAGCTGAGCTACAGGCATGAACACAGCCCCCACCAGAAGAAACTAAAGCTGTCTCCAGGCACCAGGACTGTGAGCCACTACCAGTGGCATGCAAGAAAGGATGTAGCCTTTCCTTGGAGGTACAGGAGTGGATGCAATGACCTGGGTAGGCCTCCTTGGCCCCCACCATTGCTGCCCATGACCCAGTGAATGCAGAGGCTGCAGCAATGGATTACATGTGTCTACTTGGCTCAAGGTGGCCTGACGGGTCAGGAAAGGTCAGTGAAATAGCCGCCACATGCTGATCTCTGAGCTGGCTGACTGCCTCCCAAGCTCCCCATGCCCCTCGGGGTTCTGAGAACTGAGCTGGAGCTCCTCTGGTGTCCCTGCTGACTCCACAGCAGGCTAAGATGTGTCAAGGTGAGCAGTCTGCAGCTAGTAGGCTCAGCAGGGCCGGTGAGTCACCATCTGGAGAGCGGCCGGGCAGCTAACTGCTTATGAAAGCCCCGGTGGTGGGATCCCCCTGCTAGATGCCGCAGTTGCCTCCAGCCCCCACCTCAGGGATCCTGCACCCACCAGGATCACAGCATGCTTGGCTGGTAGCACAGCCTGATTGGAGGAACGGGGACAGTGCCTGATAGAGAAACAGTCTGTTTACCTGGGGGCTGAGGGCAGGGATGGACGAGATTTGATGCCAGAGTCAAGGACCCAAATTCAACCTCTTACGTTTGGGGTCTGGAGTCCCTGAGAGTAGGGAGATCAGATCAGAGCTTGGTCTGGGCTAAACTCCCTTGCAACTGAGCAAAAGGAAGTCCTCAGACTAATTCTGAGCTGAGCTGCAGCAACAAACATAGTGGTGGGATAGTAAGAAGAACTAGAAATGCCAGAAGGGGGCAGACAGAGCCAAGGGTCCTGGCCCTAGCCACCTCCCCTCACCTCCCTCCAATTCCCAGTCTCCTGTGTTGTCTTCTAGGATGCGTCTCTCCCTGCAGAGGCCCAGGCCTGGGCACAGCCAGGCAATCTCACTAGGTGGGAGCTGGAGACCTGATATGGTTCTGGAAACACTTCTGCTCTGGAAGAGGGCATGGCGAACGTGGCTGGGAGGCGTGCGGGCGGGTACGCTTGATGGGGAACCCCAGGAAAGGGGCTGCTGCCACTGGCCTCCCTCCTTTACCCATTTACTCTCACCTACTTTTTGCAGGGGCTAGGAGCCCAGCCTTCACCCTCTCCCATCAGTGCTTCGAGATCACAGAAAAGCAATTTCTAGGCCCTGGACCCTGCTCTGGACAGAGATCCCAGACCCTAGGAGACTCTGAACCTAGGGGTGGGGATGGCAAGGAAGGTGTCCAGAGTTGGAGGAGAAAGAGAAGGATCAATGGCCGGCCGGGGCTCCTGGGGAAGCTCAGCTCCATGACCCTGGGAACCCTCCTCCCCCTGAGACCCAGGAAATCATCCTTTCCAGGCTTCTGCACCTGGGAACTATTGTCCAGACTGCGCCAATCACAAGGGATCATCCCAATGTAGAAATCAAAAGGGTGTATTCTGGAGCTACTTATTTAGGGTTCAAACCCTGGCTCTGCCCCTCATTAGTGGTGCAACTTTGTACAAGTTCTTTAGCCTCTCTGGGCCCCAGTTTCCTCATGGCAGGATGGGGCTAGAATAGTACCTTTCCCATAGGACTGTGAGGATAAAATGGGGCACTTGTAAAGCGTTCAGTGTCAGCTCATGGGAAGCCCTCTGTAAATGTCCATTCAGTTTAGGAAAAACTCAGTGTTTGCTGGAAGGTAACGAGGCAAGAAGAGAAAAAGCAATGGAAAAGGATCATTTTATATCTTTCTGACCCCAAACCTCTCAACCTCTCGTTTTGGAAAGGAGGTTTCCTAAGGGAGATGTCATAACCTCCCTATCTCTCTCAATGATTTCAGACCTCCAACCCCTAATACCTACCTACCTGGAAAGTCCTTCTTGATGCCTGACCTCCATCCCTGTCACTACCATCAAGCTTCTGCCCTCTTGCCCTGGGTCAGCAGGCCCCTTCTGGTCTCTGGGCCTAGCATGGGGAGGACTCGGGGCAGTAGCCCAAGGACCACTTCAGACCCCAGGGAGTATAGTTGGGGAAATCACGAATTCAAAGACCCAATCCTGACACCACATGGTAAGACCCTTTCATGTCACTTTGGTGAGTGCAAGAACTTTCTCTTCCTCCCTTTATTGACTCTCCAGATTTTATCTTCCCCTCCTCTGCCCCAGGCCACAGCCCCCTCTTTGCCCAACTCCTCCCCTTTGGTGTTGTCTCATTAGGTCCAAGAGTTTTTATTTTAATTTAATTTAATTTTATTATTTTATTTTTTTGAGTTGGAGTCTCACTCTGTCCGCCCAGACTGGAGTGCAGTGGCTGCTCCCGGCCACCACAGCCTCGACCTGCTGGGCTCTGGCGATCCTTCCGCCTCAGTCTTCCAAGTAGCCGGAATTACAGGCATGCGCTACCACGCCCGGCTGATTTTTTGATTTACTGTAGAGATGAGGTCTCGCTGCCCAGGCGGGTCTCGAACCCGCGGGCTCAGGCAATCCACTCACCTCAGCCTCCCAAAGGCGTAGGATGACAGGCTGAGCCACCAAGCTGGCTAGGTCCAAGAGTTTTTAGAGAGGTATTGCTAAGGCAGCACATCTGTCCGGCACCTTGAACTTTTCCAAAGCACTTTCCGAACATAAACTCACTTTATATAAAACCCAGATACTTTGTCAGAGCCCTGGAATCTCTCCCAGGACGAAGCCAGGTCCTGGGTCCCTCTCGGAGCACCCTGTACCCTACTCCACCCGGCTCTCATCCTCACTTCCCTCAGCCCTCAGACCCCAGACTCCAGAGCTTCTTTGGCTCAGGATCCTGCTCACCCTTCCTCCCTTAGATAAACTTCCTTTCAAAGCCCCACTTAATCCTCTCCCCAATTCCAAGCCTCCCCTGCTGCTGCAGGGAGGGGCGGGGAGGAGAGAGCCAGGATGCTAGGCAGAGGGGGAGGGGAGCGGTCTGCCCGAGCTGTGACCCAACCCGACTCAGACTGCAATTCTCCCAAGTTCTTTGTGACACAAAAGGTAAACAGAAGGCCTGGCTCCCCCCACCCCCCACCCCCTAC